CACTTACTTGCATCCCTCCTGTCAAGATGACCGTGTCATCATTAGTCAGCACTAACGTTCGCTCGCTATTCGCGAAGATCTCGGATTTAACCTCCATTCTGAACACACGTAAATTCCATCACATGTGTTGTTTGTGTACAAAAAACCCGGTTGAATCAAAACTTTGAGGACGTGCTTGTGCGAATAGAAGGGTTTAATTGCTACTGGCAGGATAGACAGCAAAGTAGGAAAAAAACCGCAGGCGGTGTGGCTACTTACATCAATGTTTCCTGGTGTGGCAAATCAGAAGTTATATTTAACTACTCTGAAAAGTGCATTGACTGTTTGTCTGTTTGTTCTCACCCTAAATTTTCTCGTCACAAAAGTACAATCATTAACAATGTGTATATATCTCCCTCAAGTACTCGGACCGAAATTTCTGCTTTCTTTGATTCCTACATTCCATTTCTGGTTCCATTATTAGATGAAAATCTCCACCTACTTGTTGGTGATTTCAATCATGCAAGCAGTTCTCCCTTGCTTCTGTTTGGTTCGTCTGACCTTTCTCATTCTCCTACCAGAGGCAGTTCTGTGCTGGACAGAGTGATCACAAACCATCCCAAATTATTCTCTCTCAAACTAATGGCCCGGGTTTCTACCAGTGACCATAGTGTTCTTCTTGTTAGACCAAAGATATACTCTTGCATTGCTTATCAAGCATTCATACGTTATACTCCAATAAAATTTCATCTAAGGGACTTTTCGGTCAACCGTTCTATTGTGATTGTTCGGTCTTGGTTTGGTTCTTCCCCTTCGCTTTTTAAATGTGTCAATCTGTTCACTGAAACGATTAAATCGATCTTCAACTCGTGTTGTCCAATGAAAACCCTGTTTGTCTGTAACGGTAGAATCACCTCGCCCTTTTTGAAATCACTGAGAAGGTACAAAGAACTGGCCTACAAATGTCGCCATGCATCAACTGTAAAGCACTATTCTGAGTTAATCAGGTCCAAGATAGCGTACCTCAATGCAATCATTCGCCGCCCAAATTCTGCGAACGAAGAACACCAGGCTTTTATGACAAGGTATTCTCCTTCTCTGTGGGCAGAACAGAAAACATTCTTATACCTCTGTGGATGTCAACAGACTTAACGCCGCTTTCATCCAGCCGTCAAATGAGAGTCAGATTCCCTCATTCCTATGCAATGAATCCAGTTCAGTGCCTTTTTCCAGTGATTTAATCTTTAAGCTTCTTCGATCCTGCAAAGCATCTTCAGCTGCAGGCCCTGGTGGTCTTCCTCCGGCACTTCTGAAAATCGGAGCAGCTTCCCTAACCAATATGATGACATCAATCGTCAATGAGTCCCTATCTTCCCGGTCGATTCCTGATTCTAGGCGTCCAGTGACCGTTATTCCGATCCCCAAATCCGCGTCCTCAACTGTTCTTGTGAAACGGTTTCGTCCTATCGCGTTGACCTCAACGGCTCTAAAGGTAACTCGAGTCGGTTGCGGTCAGACACCACAATTCCCCATGACCGCCTTCAGTTTGCATATAAACCAAACAGATCTACATTGGACGCCGTGTCCGCCCTAGTGCATTTTATCAGCAAGTCATTGAACAAGTCGGTCAAGTCTGTCCGTTGTGCTTTTCTTGACTATTCGTCTGTGTTTGATTCTGTTTCCCGATCATCCCTTCTTTTCAAACTTGAATCTTTTGGCACTCCAAAACGGCTGCTCTTATTGCTTACTGACTATTTCACACAGAGGGTCCAGTGTACCAAATTAGGAAGGAGGACATCAAAACCTCTTGCTAATAATTCTGGTGTTCTTCAAGGTGCTGTTCCATCCACATATCTTTTTTTCTGCCTTTATTAGGGATCTTTCGATCCCACCCCCTGCGCACATCCAAAAGTATGCTGATGACGTTATTTTGTGCCAAACAGTTTCATTTCCTTCGGAATTTCATTCTTTTACCGAAAACCTATCCCACATCCAACAGTTTCCTGACCAATCTGGTCTCAGTCTTAACATATCTAAGTGCGTGAAGTGCATTTTCATTCTTTCCCGCTCCTCATAGATCCTGATACCCTTAACTGTAAACTTGTATTCAGAATGACCTCAGTCAAGTACCTGGGTGTCACCATTGACAGCAATTTTCATTGGTCTACACATATTTACAATCGTATGAGAAAACTGAGATGCCTGTCTTTTCAGTTACGCAAACTCAGGCAATTCCGAACCCCACAGTCAGTCCTGTCATCCTTCGTTCATCGATGCGTTTTACCCATACTACTCTATTGTT